GACTGATTTTAATATATTTTAAAAATTATCATTATTATTTTTATTAATCAAGTGAATTCTTGCAAAAAGGATTTTGGACTGACTGATTATAATATTTATTAAAAATTAACATTATCATTGTTTTTTTTTATCATTCATCAACCATCAAGGAGATCTACACCATGCTCTATTTTACCTGAAAATTTAACGGAGGTTTTTTGGTCTTTGCCAGAGTATTGATAGGGATGGAGGCCATGTGTAGGTTCCATGGGTTTATTTGCAAGATTTATTGCTTTATCATGTAATACAATGATAAAAAATATTTAGTTTTGGAAACAAGTTTTGATATATAAAAAATCAAAATAATTCAATCACAGCAAATAGAATCAAGAAAGAAAAATAATTATCTTAACACACTTTAACAAAATTCTTATGAATGATATGATTATTAGTCCTCATGACAAAACAAAATTACAAAAATAAAAAAACAGCAAACCTTAATCTGCTCAGGAATGATCTTATTTTTTCGAAGGGCATTGATGTTCAGCCTTTCGAAAGCGAATTCTTTGACCACCTTTCGGTTGCGCACTTCCTTAACCATTTTCCAATCTGCGTACTTGCCGATGGTGGAAGTGGTGTGAAGGCCACATGATGGAGGCTGTGAAGAAAAGAGAAAAAAATATGGTTAAATCTTAAAATTTTTGCTATTTCCTGATTTTTTTATTCTTTATTTATTTATTTTTTTTTTTTTTTGAGAGAGAGAGAGAGAGAGAGAGAGAGAGAATACGTATAAATAAATAAAGCATAATTCTACAGCCATGTTAAACTCTTAGACCTTTCAATTATCAACTGTTGCTGATAAGGTTTGAAGAAACCTTAACCCATTCGCGCCGAGCATCACATATAAGTGACAGGCCCACTGTGAGTTTACTTGTTTGATTGTTTTTACATCACAGATGGCTACACTTGTACTTGTACTGCCTGTCTCGCCTGTTTACCCTTTTCTTTTATTTACAAAATTATTTTGCGTTATCTTATTTTGCTGTTACTAATGTTCATAACCTTATAGTAATTATAATATTTACAATAAAAATAAGCATCGATATTCATAGCACGAGTAAAAAATACATTTTCCTGCCAAATGAAATCAGGTAAGGCAGAGCCATCTATTGGAGAGACATTTCACAAAAAGTATAAAAAATGAGCATAGCATTTTCCCCATTTATTGTTCATTTTTTACCCATTGCGAATGGGTTAAAGGGTGCCTTCTTTATAATACTGGTATACAATATTTTCTCCTTTTACAAATTCTATTTCTACCAATAGCAATTCCTAAAATATCTTCTTAAAAGATATATACACACATTGACTAACACACACACACATACATATACATATACTTAGTTATTTTTCCTTTTTTTCCTTTAAGGAGCCAATTTATAAGTTTGATTAAATGTGAAGAAACGTTACTATTAATTACTATTCACAGGTTAAGAAGAATAAGAAGAATAAGAATAAGAATAAGAAAAGAAAAGAAAGAAAAAACAAACAAACTTTGGTGCCATTTGGTTGCTTAGAGCAGAGCCAGGTAAACTCTAGCCTGCCTATTCAGTTAATCCAATCTGGCCCTCAGAACCCCAGATGTGTCTCTCCCTCTCACCTTTCGATACGATTTTCTGCCATCATAGCAGATGTCAGGTAACCTTTGGATTTTCACATGGACGAAAATCTTAAGGCTGGTTCGTACATTTTTTACAAGTTCAAATACAATTTTAGACCTTAATTTGTGAACTAAAACCATGGTGGTTATGATAATTATCATCAATACACAAAATACACGTTTTTTCAGCTGTGCAGGTACAGTAAGTCTGATGTAACTAGTATCATTACTGTAAGTTGTCAATCATGTCCACAGGCCCCTAAAAAATTTTTCCTACTCAACCGCACTGTTGAAGTTATCTTATTACTTTTAACCCAATCGGCAACGATGACAAGAATACATGCAATGTGTACTATAGTACAATTTCAGAATACATGCCATGTGTACTAAAATATAAGTTCATTTGTTGTCTTTATACATAGATGGCTCTATGAGTGCTTAGTCACCAAGGAGTGAGTTATTTGTCCTACTTATCTTACCTGTTTACACTTTTCCTTGATTTTTGGGAAGTGCCTTTTGTATTAGTTTATTTTTAATATTACCAAGATTTTAATAACAATCTAATGATCATAATGTAAATAAGAATGATAACTGTCGTTATCAATAGTATTAGAGAGAAAAACACATTTTTCCAGCAATTCAAGGAAAGGGGAAATCAGAATTGGTCACTAAGGCATACTGCTAGACTCCTTGCTGGCTGAGCACATGTGAGGGTTAACATACATACATATACATATACATACACACACACACACACACGTATGTGTGCATGTATATATGCATTGTATATATTATATATTATATAATATATAATATATAATATATAATATATATATATATATATATATATATATATATATATATATATATATATATATATATATATACACACACACACACACACACACACACATTTACACACACGCACACATTATTTTTAACCGTTTCCCCATATATATAACAGAAAATTACTTGCTAATGAAAAGACTAGGGATAACTATTTCAAATACATGTGTACTAATATTCTTTTACTTTTTGTACTGTATAAGAAATAGCATTCATGTTTTACACTTATCCTTTCGGCTGCAGTGAGAGGTATTTTCTTAATCTTTTAACTGCATCTGTCCAAGACTTGTAATCTTCTAAGAGAGGTTTCCTTCATGAAGAATTAAAACATATCTCTTGTTACTCTTAAATCTTAAATCAGAACGAGTGAATTTTCCTTGTCCTTGAAAGAAATAATAGAAGAAAAGAAAGAAAAAAAGAAAGGTAAAAATAACGTAACAAATTAAAAATAATATTAAAACAAAATTTCTTTACCTTATTTACCTGAACCCTCTTTTCAAAGTGAAAATATCACTCTGATATTTGCAGTTCAAAGCATATCATTTAACACTTACTTAATATATATATTTAACACTTAATAATATATAAATAATATTTCAACAAAAACTCTATACCCTAGTAAAACTTTTTCAATCTTATTTTCTGGGGACAATATGATGATATCTGTTATTTGCATATTAAAAATATTTAGTCTAATTCTTACTGTGTGCATTAATCATTTTATATTAAAATATGACATAAATATAAGAATGCAATAAAAGAAGCCTTTGAAAAGGAATATGTTTTATATTCTAAATATCATATTAAACATTACACTTTCTAATAAGATTCACAGAAAGCTGTATATGAAGACACATCTTTGTAAGTACCACGTCTTAAAAAACAAAACAAAAATAAAACAAATAATAGTGATAATAAAAATAATAGTACTAATAATAATAATGATCAAAATAATAAAATGAATAAATTATAAAATAATAATATATAAATAAATAAAAAGTAATTAAAATATTCACATTTTCAATCAACACAGCCTGAAATGGAATAGGCAACTCATAGCACTACGAGTGTTACCCAAACTTGGCATTTATTCCCTGTATGAAGTTAGCCACAACACACAGACTGCCTGATTTTATTAAATTCTCAGGCACTCACCAACAGCTCTAAACAAGCCCTTCAGCTATCTCATTTCAAACAACCATGCTCCATGAGTAGGATTCATTTTAGTATCATAGTCATATTTTCATATATGTTAAAATTGGAGGCATCATTACTATCTAACCTGCCAGTATAAGTGGTGAAACTTGGCAGATAAATAGTAACACTGTTTTAGTAAAGAAAAAGAAACAGAAAGAAAGAAAAGAAAAAGAAAAGAAAAGAAAAGAAAAGAAAAAAAGGAATAGAATATTTTGCAAATCATTGTAAACATATAAAAAAAAAGTTCAAATATCTCTTGCTTTAGGCATTACTCTTTTACCTTTTTTAAAATTAACTAATCCTCTGTTGATCATGAACAAAACAAGTCAATAAAAAACAATAATAAAAAGGAGAATAATGAATATTTCAGGTGAATTTCATTACAGTTAACTAATTCCTGAGTGTGTTCTTTCTGTAATTACACCTTGGCCTATAACAATAAAGAAGAAGAAAAAGTTAATAGGATTAAAAAGAGATCTTTAAAAAATATGTTTAACAAACTATAGCTTCATTTTGTGTATTTAGAAACAATGAATCACTAATAATATTAAATCTCAACTGAACAGAATATGCTTCAGCAACTCTGAGATAACAAGAAATTCTTTCAGCGCTAGTTCTGATTTTTTTTTACATGAGGAGCAGTGTATATAAATTACATGTGCTCATTCAATCCTCTAAATATTTAACTCAAAATTAACTACTGTAAATCAACTCTTGCCATGTCCTAAAACCTGCAATCATCCAGGCTGCTTGGATCACACTTGAACCACCATCATTAATTCCTGTTAATACACTCCATTACTATTTTGCTACCTCTCATGATATATTTCTTGCATATTGTCAAGGAACCTAATGACTTTTACTCTGACTTCTGCAATTCTAAAAGTGATCAAGATTTTAATGAGTAAGATTATCCTTTCAGATAAGTAGATTCAGCCTTGTAAACCAGAATGTCTGAAAAATGTATCAGAGAGAGGGAGAAAAAAATTGTACACAAAATATAATGTTTTATATGCTTAGAACGCTTGGTTGCTGGGTCACAAATATTTTGAAAGACCAGAGGTTATCTACTAAAGATGGGATGGCAAAAACACAAGCCACATTCAATCTGATTTAGTTAACTAATTTTGCTTAATTAGTATTGATAATTATACAATAATAATCCCAATTTCAACAACAATCACAATATCAGTAATGATATTAAGCCCATGTTACTGGTAAAATGAAGTGTTCAGTGTGAAAAGTCTCTAGTGCTCAACCACAAGCGAGTTATTAGCAAACCTTGCAACCTCATCTGATTTCACCTTTCCTTTGCAGGATTTTATATATATATATATATATATATATATATATATATATATATATATATATATATATATATACATATATATATATATATATGTATATATACATATATGTATATATACATATATGTATATATACATATATGTATATATACATATATGCATATACAATATAAACATATATACATATATATATATACACACATACATATATATGTATATATCACTAATACTACCCATCGTAAAGCTCTTTTTTTAATCATAGATATTATAATTCTTATAATGTTACTGAAACTACTAACAGCAATATAAAATACCAAGGAAGGGGTGAACAGATGGAATAGGTAGTACTCATAACTGGGTCAATGGTCACTTGTGGAGACAATTAATAAACTACACTCACAGTGGGCAAAGCATGTACTGAGCATCAGCAATGAGTGTCAGCATCAAAAGAAAGAAAGAAAGAAAGAAAGAAAGAAAGAAAAAAGGAAGAAAGAAAGAAGAAGAAAAAGTAATGTGGATATTAGGTGACATCACATAGGCCTACAGACTACTGGTGTTTGTGGAGCCATCAATGTGTAAACAAAATTCACACAAAAAAAACTAGATTGGACAGTGCAATTTGGACCCCCCAGGAACTAATAAACTGAC